ATCAGGAACTTGCTGATTCTGTTGACAAACTGGAGCGACAAGAGGTAAATTGAACACAGGGATGACAGAAGAAACATGCTGATTCTGACGATGATTGTTTCTTCCTATGGTTCTCTTCTTGGCAAATTTATTATCAAACTTCTTCACACCATTAGTTGTGCCACTGTCTTCAGATAAACATTCCTTTCAGACATCATTTTCTAGAAGCATTCCCACATTCGCCTTTTCTGGGAACTCACTGGGTGCATTGACTATCACCTTCTCGTGAAAGAATGATTTCAGAGTTTTTGTGAAGACTTTTGCCATTTCTTTTTCCTTCCTAGAAGGATTTACTTGGGCGGAAACCAAAGTTTTAACCAAAGAAGTTAGATATTCTATATCAGCTTTCAAAGTAGTTACCTCTTTGCGGAGTTCAAAGATCTCTTGCTTAATGCTTTCCATCTTCCCTTAGCACGAGTGTTATACTAATGAGATAACTTGTTTCTGAAGACCAGAGGATTTTGGGTAAGACTTCTGGGCAAACCATGAAATGAATAGTTAAATGTAACATGGTTCATGACATGCAATACAAATGCCCTGTCCTTATTTCCAAAAGTCTATACGTTTTGATTCCAGTTATTAAGCCACAATATTATTATATATTTTTTCATGTATTTATTATATATAATTTTTTTTATGTTTATTTTTTTGTCTTAACAATTGGAATCAAGGAAGTAATGTTTGGAAACAAAAAAAAGTATGTTGATAATCATATTAAGATGCTATGTATGCAAACATATGGGATCAAAGATTTTGCGGTACTGAATAGCTGCTGAACTGATAATAGAACCACTGTAATGTGTAATAAGATCAAAAGTCTAGACCAATTTAGAATGCGAAGAACCAAAGTCACCAGTAGAACATATATATACTCACCATATGTACCTGTAAATATTATTCCCTCCCCACTCACGGGCAAAGACTAGGTCAGGGTAGGTCAAAGGTAACTCAAAATCACGGGTCCGCCTGAAAATAGTATTGCCTTACCCACAGACTTAGGTGTTGATAATAATCCATTTAAACCTCATCAGAGCGTGGTATATGACATGACTTCACTAATCGGACCACGTCCTATAGCCTCCATGCCCCCACTCTATTCCTAGTGTCCTAGTGCACTCTGGCATGGGTACTGGGCCTTTTACCTCAATAGTAACACCCATCCATTAATAAACATAGAATACATCACATCAGAAAATAACCAATATATAGAAAGCGATAAAATGAAATGCATACATATGCTCAACTATAAACATAAATGAATAAGCTATAAAGCATAAAGATAAACACCCTAAGAAAAGAAAAACGGGAGCTAGGATTGACTCACGGGATGGACCAGCAATTGGTCTTCATGATCCCAAGTGAAGACGCCATTTTTCTGTAGCGGTAAAATCAATGAAGTCGCCACCGAGTATTTATTTATACAACAAAATGGAAAGGAAAATAATCGAAGAAAAACCTAAAGGGGAAATCAAGGTCTTATGATCGAGAGATTGGGTAAGGATGTCGATTACGAGAGGGGGAGGTATTAGCACCCCACACGTCTGTAGTACTCTACGGGATCCACTCTTGTTATTCTAATAAAAGGGTATGTTCAATCTAATGCTTAAACGTCACAAACTAATAGGGAATGAATGCAAAGAAAACATGGGCAAAAGAAGGAAATATTAACGAATTTTCACTCGGCTAAGCCCCGTGACCAGATACCTACGTATCCATTTTAAGGAATCAGAGCGTCGTAGTTCGGCTTACATATTTTGTTTGTTTGTATTTTTTTAATGAACAATATTAATCTCGCCTTTTGTCGCAACTCGACCTTTGGAGATTTACGCGTCAACACAGGAGTGACTTAACATGTTCTTTTGAAAAGAGTTTTTTGAAAGAAAATCCCAAAGGCAAAAGAGTTTGTGTTGGTTGATGTTTTTGCTGCAGATAACGGCTAGTTAATTTCAAGAGAGAGATATTAGCCATTTCTCTACTTATTCATGAAGTAAGTCTTCGAGACTTGAACCATACTAAGGCTTAGGATGGAGGAACAATAAGATAGAGAAGAAACTCACTTATCATTTCCCATACTCAACAAAGGTATGACTCTCATCAGTAATCTTTAAGTGTCTTGAAGTTTGCAAGAAAAAGAAGTTTTTGTTTTAATGTAAATGAAAAAGGGGAAAGAAAAGTCTAAAGGGAGACTAACCTAAATCTAACCTAATGTTATCATACAATGAGTGATCCTATCTAAGTTTTCATGCCAAATAAAGTCTAATGAAAATATCTTATGGGGAACATACAACGAGAGCAAAGTCGTGATCTCAATTTCTAAATTGAGTGACTCATCGATCAACAAGAAATATAGGAAAGCGATAAAATCCTATAGGGAGCATGCACTGAGAGTGAAGTCGTGATCTCAATTTCTAAATTGAGTGACTCATCGATCAAAAATAAAGGAAACAAACACAAGCACGACACATATAATAAATGAAGTGCGGAATGCATGTTACAGGTCTTTAAACAGCGACTTCAAGCGCACGCTCTTTATTTCCTACTTCTCATGATATCTATAAAGCAATAAAATGAGGAAGAACAAATTGGAAGCAGTATAATACCAAACGAACAACAATGTCTGCAAAAAGAGCAACCAAAGAAAAGAAACCCAGAATACTTCACGCGAGCTGACATCAACAAACAAACAGTCAGAGATTGAATATTTGGAATAAGCGTCGAAACTTCATTAAACATGAAAATAAATCACAATCGGAATCCAAACACATCCTCATGTCAAATAATGATTCTGCATAAGACTCGACTCAACGTGCAAAGGTGAATCACAAGTTTCAAGTAATCGAAAAAATTAGGAATAAATTTCCTAAAATCAATAAAAAAAATCTGACCAATTTTTATTGACTTCGTATTTTTTTATCATAAAAAAATCTAACTTCTACATATTTTTATTATTTTATTATATGTATTTTTTTTAGAAACCTTGAAGAAATTTAAACTTTAAAAAAATTAGAAAAATCAGGGGGTGCTAAACTGGATCAGAGGTGGTACACATCTGTCTTCATGAGCCCAATTCTGCAATGAGTCCAACAGATTTTCTTTTTTGTTTGAGAAGCTAAAAAATGTAGTAACAGGCCAGGAAAGGGATGGATCGGTCCATCAAAGGGAATATTCCATTTTGTTCAATCTTCCAAACTACTAAAAACACACTATGGGCTTACAAGAAAAGCAGGGTTCGGTCCAAAGATACAAACAAATACAATCATTTTCCTTTTTGTTATACTACCTCATACTTCTGTTTTAATGATGAACATAAGGTAAAATGAGCAGAATTGGAAAGGGAATAGGGTTCGAAAGGGAGTGTCCCTTCAACTTCACACGAAACGAGTTATCTCTCTTCTGTCATCAACACAACGCAACAACGTTTTTTCTTCTTCTTCAACAGCGTGACTTATCATCCGCTACCGTTTCCATCATCTCCATCTTATCTTGTGGTTGTTCTGATCACAGCACCGCGATCCTCACTTCCACTCGTTCTCGTCATTCACCTTAGTTTCGTTTCCGATTCACAACATATTTAACAACAAGACAATCGTAAGAGTGAGTGAAGAATTCTTACCGATCAGAGAAACGTCTGGTGTTTCTTCAAACTCAGAGAAGCTTTGATCTCCAAGTTCTTTCTCTTTCTCGTTTTTTGCTCAAATCTTCTTCTACTTTCTACTTTCGGTTTCTACATGTTTATGTTGATATGTGTGTTGTTGTTGTGGGTATGTGTGAGGATTCTTGAAGATAAAGCTCGTGTGATGAAGCTGTAAAAATGAGATGATGATGTGCGCTGCAGTGGAATGATGGAGAGTTTGGTCAACAGAATATGATGCCGATGGAGATGAAGCCTGAAGTCGAGATAGAATTCAGAGTTTTTCTGGAGTTTTTGTGTTGATTCTCCCGAGAGATTGAAGAATGATGAAGATGAAGATGAGAGGAGAGGAGAGGAGACAGGAGAGAGTTTGGTAGTGGAAGGTTGAAGATGACATAGAATGGAAGCTCAAGATCCCTGAGATAGTAGGAAAAAGGTCCCTTTTGCAAATTTTGTTGTCTGTTATGTATCAATACCCCCTCCTCAATTCTGTTATGATTCTGTTATATAGGTTCTAGTGAGAAGCTCCTAGTTGTTAGATTTTTGAGAGTTTGTTATGGAATGGAGGGTAGATATTAGGTTGTTAGGAATTGGTTAGGAGTTTGTACTAGGTTATTTAGGCAAATGCAGTTAGAATTTATTTTCTATTTTGATTGTTGTGAGAAAGTTAGTTAGGGAATTACTAGAGATTATTTTTTTGTTTTTTGTTTGGGAATCAGTTAGGGATAGTTATACAAGCTGCCAAATTTGGTTATTGAGTTAATGGTTTCTTAATTTTTGTTTTAAATTTCAATCTCCTTCACTTATAATCTTCTTCTATTATTTATGTTATCTAATTACTGCACACACTAAAAATTGTTATGCAATTGGCCCTATTTTGGTTACGAATTGATTTCCTACGTTAAGTTGTTTGTGTACCCAGTGCAGGGAGTTTTACGAGGACCGACTTTGAATTGCCTTCTCTAAACTTGTTTATCAGATGAACTGCAGTTTGTTTATTTGATGCGGGCTGTTAAACTATTTTTTTATTGAACTTACAGACTGTTGAACTGAACTGTTTATTGTGTTTATGAATATGGCAAGGCTGAAGATGATTGTGGACTGGAGAATCAGTTTCAACGAACTAGATTCAGCTAGAAATTAGTTAGAAATTATTGGTTCTGAAACTTCTGCTAATATTAAGAACTGATATGCTGTTAGAAGTTCTGTTTGGTGACTACATCTTCTTTGAATTTTCTAGTTTTGGCAGCCTGAGCTATTTTGAAGCATTTTCTATTCTTTTGTAGAGAAACTAATATAGTTTTACGCATAGGTGCAGGGATGCATATGTTCAGTTTTGTTTTGGACTAATGATGTGCATTAAATGAGTAGGAAATTCGAGTAAATCCAATTCTTTAACAGGATCAGGATTATTTGATTCAAGACCATCTTTAACGAGCCTGAAGCCAAATGTCAGTAGATTTGACAGCAACACGTCCATAATTGATGTCTGTAGAGCAGCCTGGATAGCATCCTTGATATTTAACTCTACAAAATTATTGCGTCCTGGGTGCCAATGAACCTTAATCCTAGATACAAGATTCCTTATACGAGCATTCAATTTGGCTTTGCTGTATAGGGCTGTTATGCGGGAATTTTCTGAAGGGAGCATGAAGAAGTTTAGGCATAGTGCAAGCGAGGTTGAAGTGAGAAGAAACGGAAGTAGGATGTAAGATTAGAACTAAGTTTTAGGAGGAGCTTTTTATGAGATTTTCTTTGTAATTTTGAAGTGGCATATGATATAGAGTCTTATATTGGTAGTGAGCTTAAAATGCCTTCTTATCATGTATTTATGTAAGGATCCACATTATAAATAGTCCTGACTTTTGGAAACTTTATGATATTTTAAGGTTTTAATGATGATAATCAACATATTCTTCATTGTTAGCAACTTGAAGAGTGTCGTACCCCAAATTTGCCCTATCTCTTTTATTTTTGTCTGTTTTTTTGAACTTTGCATTCCATTTGCATCATTTTATTATTCAGTCATTTACATATCCCGCATCTCAGGGAATCAGGCACTTTGGTTTGAAGTTTTAGGGTTGCGCCCTCTTTATGTCTAATCTTGTTTTGAGGTTTTCTTATCAGGTAAAAAGGAAGCGCATATGGTTCTAGATTAATGGATCATGGAATGAATTGTGTCATCGTGTTACAAGGTTGGTTATCGCTCAAATTTATCGAAGCCTGGAATAGGGTTTATTTCCCTATGGTGTTGGTCCAGATTCTAGGTTTTTGGGTCTTTGGTTTCTGGGAAGATGTCTCTCTCTCCTGCCCCGAAGAGGGCTCAGAGCTCAGTGCATTAGGTCAAAAATCTCACCTCCTCACATTTCAAGTTTCTTCTTAAAGCCTCTAAGTCGTTTAGGCGAGAGTTTGAAGTTTAAATTGGAAAGTGTGGAGTTTGAGCACAAGAAATGAGGCTGAGGGTTCATGATGATCAAGACATTGTTCTTGTTACTTAAGTTACAAGTTATTGTGGGTTAAATATCAAAGGTTGAAGTTCTGGTCAAGAAATGCAAGTTTGGTTCAAGCGGGGTTCGAAGATCGAGGTTCGAAGCGACCGGTGTTTTGGGTTCGAACTAATCAGTGGAATTAAATTCTTAAGCATTCATTTTGTTTTGTTTGATAGTTTGAAGATAAGGCGCATGTTTTGTTTGGAATACAATTTATAACCATTATTCATGATTTCTTGAGATTTAAGTTACTAAGTTGAGATGTGCATTCAAATCATTCAAGAGAGAATTTCAGAATTTAAACAAGATCGAGAGTTGTTTGATTTCCATACAAAATAATTCATTCAAAAAAATGTATCATTCAAGCTTTCGTGTTCGTTACATTTTTGGACTGATTACAGAGCGTATGAAAAAAATAAATTACAATTATTGGAATACAAATTACATTTGTTTTGTTTACAAAGAAAAGAGAGAAATAATTTGTGTTTCTTCAAGTCGTCATCTTCAAGTCATTCGTCCTCGCCATGATATTTCCATCGTTCAATCTCGCTTTGGACCATCCAATAATCGTGCTCATGAAACAAGAAAAAGAGAAAAGTTAGCAAACAACTAATGCATGGAAAAATTCAAACAAGAATTATTTGATTAATGTCATAAGGGTTTGCGTTTGGAATCAGTCAAGGGAGTTTGTTTAATCATGGACTATTTTTTCCCTCTCCCAATTGCAAATCATAAAAAGCTTGTGCCTTTTGGTTCACAAAAAGAAAAAAGAAAAGAAGTTTGCAAATATTCTATTTTTTTCACTGCTGCAAAACAAACATGCAGCAGGCCAAGGCACAACAAGCATAACAGCGCACAAAGCAACAAGCATAGCGCGCAGGCCAAGAACAAGCATAGCGCGCAAGAAAAACATGTAGCAGGCTAAGGCATAACAAGCATAGTAAGCAGGCTAGCAAAACAAGTATAGTAGGCTAGCCAAATGTAACAGCAGCCCAAGGCAACCGGCAACAAGTCACAAGCTAAAACAAAAAAGCAACTCAACTATGACAAAGCAAGTGCAGCATCGTATTAAACAAAACATTATTGCAAGCAGCTAAATACCTCATGTCATCATTTTCCAAATACACAAACCCTTCAGAACTTTAATTAGATAAAAGCATTAAGCTTTACATCACAGAAAGATAAAAGAGGAAAGATATAACCTGCTGCAATTGAGCCCAAACCAGTCCAAAAATTTTTGCTACAGCTATGCTGTAGAAACAAGCCAAAATAGTCCAAGAAAAATAGACCAAAACAAAACCTGCATCCAAAAAGTACCAAGCCAACATACCAACAATGTTCAAAATTCCCCAAATTCCCCCCCCCCCCCCCCCTGATTTCCACCATGTTGACCTATAAATAAACACACCACTGTTTGATTAAGGATCCTAGACATACAACTTAAAAACACAGCAAGGGGGATTTTTCTGAAGCACAAACTGTAAGAACCAAACCAAAATTTCCAACCACAAACTGTAAGAACCAAACCAAAATTTCCAACCACAAACTGTCAACCCCAAAAAAACAGCAAAAAACCACAAACCATCAGTCTAAAAAACCAGCAAAAAAACCATAAACCATCAGTCTAAAAAACCAAAAAAAAAACTGCATCAGCATCAAACCATCAGGCTAGAAAACCAGAAAAAACTAACACTTCAAGGCTTCTAAAAAAAACCCATTCACAACTGCAACAAAAAAAAAGATGACAAAACTCTCAAAAGCATCAACAATACCAACTTCTCAGCATACATAAACCAGTGGAAGATATAGAAAAGGGGCTTTCTTTTCCAAAAAAATTTCAGCAAGAGAAACAAATCAAAGAAAAACATACCAAGTTTTTTTTTGCTATAACTCATGTTATTTCATTACTGATTATTTTCATATCTGTATCAAATCTCGATTTCCATTGCCGTATTGTTGTATGTTGTTATCACTAAGAAAACATAGAACCTACAAAACTTAGAACCTGCTGACCAAACACTACTAACTTGTACAAAACATAGAAACTCCAAAATCAACTTAGAACCTGTTAAAGCTTAACCAAAAAAACCATAGAACCTGTCAATACTAGAATCAGTTAAAAACACTTAACCTGTTAATCAACTCTAGAACCTGTTGTTAAAAAGCTTAACCACCTAAACCATAAAACAGTTAACCTTAGAACCTGTTAATCTAACAACCTGCAAACCAGCTTAGAACTTGCTGTTAAAACACAACGACCTGTTAAAAATCTCAATCTGCTAATAATAAGACCTGTTAACATTACGACCCTCACAAACCCTTTAATCCTTGTTGAAACCAATTTCTCAACTTCCACAAGGTAGATACTTACGTTGTGCATGCAATATGTTGTCCTTATGGCTATACCAGTAACAACCAACAGTTCTTCTGGCTTCCAATTCAAACCCAGAAGGCCAAATTCTTTACGAAAACCACCCTCACAAACCCTCTACCGAACTTCAACCTAACCTCATCACCACTGCAATTTCGGATCTGTACCCTGCAACATCACAATAGCGCTTTTATTTTCTATTTGTACACATGTGTATTAATCGTTTCCTCCGAGTAATTTACCTTGTTCTTGGATCTGAGCATGCGAGACGAACCAAGCGACTGGTCACGTGGCGGCAATGGTGATGGCAACCGTGGTGGCCGTTCGTCTTCCGATTAGGTCGATTCGAGAAGGCGTTAGAGAAGCATTTGTTATCTGTATCACGTTTGAAGCTGTTGATGGTGTTGGAGGTTTAGAGAAGGTTCTTTCTTCAAGGAGGTGATGATGATGTTGATACGGATGGGAGAGGAAAGGGTCTAAACAAAGGCGTGATTAATGAAAATAGATGAAGGGTTGTAGTGGTTCTGTTTGGTATCTGAGAGGAAGAGAAGAGGATTTGTGGTGAGATAAGAAGAGAAGCAGTTTCACGAAGAGGATATAGAGATAACATTTTGTTTTTAATTGAGTTAATTGGAAGATTAATCAGAATTAATTTACAATTTAATTTATACTCCTTTCCAAGGCCAAGAACAACGCCCCTTCATTGTACTAGGGTTTGCAAAACATTTCTTGTTCCATTCCTCCAATCGGGTCGGCCCTTTGGGCTCTTTGGCCCAATCCAATTACCACTTTCCTTTATGTTTTAATTGAACCATTGTTATAACGAATAAACAACATAGCTCAACTGGCAAAGCATCTAATAATAAACCTTGGGGACCTGGGTTCAACCCCTACTGGGGCATTTTCCATTTTTTTAGTTTTTTAGGCTTTATCTCTATGTATTTTACTATATACAAATAAAAATATATATTTATTTAATTTCTTTTCTTTACATAGTTATTGCATGAGAAAAATATAAAAACATGTTTGTTTTAATTAATCTTTCATTTTGTTATTTACTTAATCTTTTGTTTAATTTTCTTTAATTCAATTTGTTTTATTCAACTTAATAAAATACCCAAAATAAGTTAAAATTAGGTTTCGATACTCATTTCACAATAAGTTGTAAAAATATTATAGTATTATTTTTTCAAAACAATAAAAAATATTTAGAGTTTTAGTTTCTTTATTTGTTCGTTCAAACCCCGATGCCATACTCCCTCAGTTAGCTCCGTGAGGCAATTAAAACCCGTTTGATCGCCTTATGTCGAAATAGACCTTTTAGCTCACTTGTACATAACAAACAATTAGGTTTCTAGTCTCCCTCTTAACCCTTTCCTTTTGTAATTAAAACTTAACATTTACAAATCCAAAATCCAAAAACGCTTTTAATCATTACTTGAATTCATTTTAAAACTCGCAAAAAACACACAACAAATCAAAACTCCCCCCAAGGGAATGTTATCTCCGCTCTACCGCGATACTGGCCGTGCCTATCGCTAGAATGCGTGTGTTAACGTCGCCGACTAAAAAAAAACCCATCAACCTTTCTCTAGAGGAACTACGGTGTTCTGATTCCTTCATTGGATACGTAGGCAAAGGGTCGCGAACCTCACGAACGCAATAATCAAAAACCATTCAGTCCCCTTTTAGCAATCATAGTTGTAGTTAAACACACCCTTTAATACAAACAAACAAAACGGATCCCGTTGAGTACAACGGATGTGAGGGGTGCTAATACCTTCCCCTTGC